GAGGTATTTTTGCAGTAGCATGACGCAGTTTGTCGATAGATATGAACATTTAACATTTGTTCCATTATTTGTTAGCCTCTTCACTCAAAAAAAATCATATGAATTTTTGATCCGAAATAACAATATTCATTTGAGCCGAGCCATGACAAAACCAACATAATGCGTTTGCGACCAGCATGGATCCAGACCAGCCTGCGCATCCGTGCAGTCTGATCAGGATCCATGCTGTTCGCTTACAAACCCTATTTCAAGTAGAGAAACTGATAGCGAACAGCATAGATCCTGATCAGACTGCGCGGATGCGCAGGCTGGTCTGGATCTATGCTGGTCGCAAACGCATTATGTTGGTTTTGCCATGGCGCGGCTCATTTTATAATGTGTCTTATCTGGTTTTCCTTTACCTGGAAATATTATAAACGTGAATTAATTCATCTTCTTTTAAAGTTACATGCCTCCAGATAAGCCAAAATACTTCAATAAAAGGAAACTAGAGAAAAAAAAAATTACTAAGATTTTAGAAAAGTAAAACGATTCAAGATTCAAGTAATGATTTACATGTTAATATATACATGCGATTAATGACTGAATTTTCAGAACTTATAACTATATTTCTACTGCGTTACTAACGATTTACATTTTCAGCAAATATTACTCAACAGTAAGGGTTATTTTTGCATATTTTGACTTTTGTGGTAATGTATGTTTGTTGCAAGTGCCATTGATATTGTGTAAATTGCTTCCTTTTGGTTATTTAATATCATACATTTAAATACATTTTCAAAATTTCATGAAAATAAGCATGAATCTGGAGGCATGCTGCTTTAAAGGCAACTTATTTTCTAATACATGTACGTGTATTATAAATAACGTCTATTTGTTACTTTATTTATGCCATGTACGTAGGGAGAGTTTGGTTTCAACTGTTTTTATTGGAAATATATGACCTAGGTCTGATATAAGATTTATTCGTGTAGACATCTGTTATTGTTTATGTATATAAAACAAATTGTGTTTCATGGTAATGTTTTCTGTTTTGAATATGTGTTACTATAGACCAATTTTTAACTTATGTCGATATTCCTTCACTTTTGAGCTTTTTTTTCATTTTTATATGCTGTACTTTCTTGCTGAATGGCATGATATAATATTTTTAGGAATTTTTCACATTACACACGTTTTATTCCTAATACCGCTAAATATCTTAAATGGACTTGTCTATCTTTCAACTTGGACAAAACCATCCATCATTTTTAGAGAATATTTAAAAAGAAAAACAAACTCAATGCAGACCATGATCAGTCTGCTTCGGAACGTCCTCGGCCATTATCTAGAAGACTGACGGAAAGGTTACGATTGCTTCTGTTAGGTCTGCACTGGTTGCACGTGTAGGTAATGTTATCAGGGTATGGGTTAAACAATTGTTGTTGAATCACCTGAATCAAGTAGATATATTTGTTGATCTGTATAAAAATGATGGTTCATATATTAAGCAATTTAAATATCGTCATGATATTTCAATTAATTATACACGTGTTGATTTATTACATGTTATAAAGAAATGATACACTATAATTCTCCAGTATCGAGAGCAATTTACAAAATAGGAAGTTAAATAGTGTATATTTCATATACAAATTTTAAAATACGCATATCAAAACAATCAGCTGTCTGACAATAAAATAAAGTGCATACAAATAAAAAATTAAAAGATACCTTACAAATATATCGTGTTTATGTACAACTGTATGCATCTGAAGGTAATTTCAACCTTGGGTTTAATCAGATTAAATTAAAGTATAAATGTATAACAGTCGGTGGCGACGATGTTAAAACTTTTTTTTATTACTTACTCAACTTGCGTGAAGTAACACCAACGATTTCATTGCCATATATCCAGTACTAATGTAAAACAGTTTCTCAATGAACTAATATAACAAGTTGTTTTAGAGTCGTTTCTCAGTCATATAATCTGAAAACAAGTTGTTGCAAAGTTGTATCTCAATGAACAATTAGAAATTTGTTTTAGAATCGTATCTGAATTAATTTGTTTAACAAGTTTTTAAAGATGTATCTCATTAAGTCAACGGACCAAGTTGTTAAAGAATCGTATGTCAATGAACTAATAGAACAAGTTGTTTTAGTGTAGTTTCTCAATGAACTAATAGAACAAGTTGTTTTCGTGTAGTTTCTCAATGAACTAATAGATCAAGTCGTTCTAGTGTAGTTTATCAATGAACTAATAGAACACGCTATTTTAGAGTACATGTAGTTTCTAAATGAACTAATAGAACAAGTTGTTTAAGTGTGCAATTGACAGGTAGGTATTTCGTTTTGTGATTACTCTATCATCATAGCATTGACTAGAACCTGTAAAAACATGTTTATATATTTGGTCATTATATCATCATAGATGTTGGGAGAAAGTATCTCTTTTGAAAAAAATCTCAGTGTCATTATTGAATTCCCGGTGTAATGTACGATTTTATGTCATATTTCTTCCCATAAAATACGAACTGATTGCGGTAAAATGAGAAAGATCAAAGGAAAGGTTCATTGGATCTAACAGAAGTAATTACTTACGTTTAATCGTGTCTGATTTTTAAATCTCTAAATGAAATATTTGAGTGTGATTTTGTTAATAAAAATAAATGTGCACTAACTACACGCTCGTACGAAAGACCGGTGGTGACTTCTGACTTCAGAGTTCAGAGTTCGGACTTCAGACTTCAGACTTCATACATAATGCTTTATACATATAGCATTAAAGGTGTTCTGAACTCCGAAGTCTGAAGTCTGAACTCTGAAATCTGAACTCCGAAGTCTGAACTCTGAACTCCGAAGTCTGAAGTCCGAAATCTGAACTCCGAAGTCTGAACTCTGAACTCCGAAGTCTGAAATCTGAAGTCTGAAGTCTGAACTCTGAAATCTGAACTCCGAAGTCTGAATTCTGAAGTCTGAAGTCCGAAATCTGAACTCCGAAGTCTGAACTCTGAACTCCGAAGTCTGAAGTATGAAGTCTGAACTCTGAAGTATGAACTCTGAAGTCTGAACTCTGAAGGGATTACATGAATCACGTGATCTGACGTCATACTATTGTCGCACCTTTTTGACGAGTAAACAGCCTTTTATTATTAGTTGGTTTCCAATAAAAGACAGACAGCTGTTTTTTTTCAAACTTAAAGTACAGAAACAGCCTAGGTTAGGTACACGAATTTTTTGGACACTATAGACGAACTTCAGGTAGAGTTTAAAAATGGATCATCTATGGTCTAAACCTGGGTCAACATAACCGTGCAAATTGCAAAAATGACCATTTTCAGCTTATTGTCACTCAAGCAACTTCATAAATGCATTAATTTTTATCAACGTTAGTCAGAAAATGTAACTAGATAAAGCCAAGATCGAAAATGAGTCGTGTTAAGTTCGAAGAACTAGGCCAAATTGATTTGATTTGATATTTGTTTAACGCCCGTTTCAACAATTTTCTAGTGATATAAAGGGGTTAAGTTTACCTTTCCATCGTTCCTTGGTGGAAAAAAGCACTAGGCATCAACCTCTCGCACAAAGAAGACTGTAGCAAGGCTCGAACCCGTGACACCTAAATCAGGGGATATCAGTAAATACAAGTCAACCTTAACCACTTGACCACGGAGGCGGTATAAAAACTAGAACTAGGTCAAAGAGTCATTTTGATCTTATTTCATTTTTGAAAAAAAATATTTTGAAAAATTTTGTTTTAGTAGCCAAAAGTTCATTTTTTCCCACTGTAAAAAATATATACACGTAATTATTTTTTTTTCCCAAAAACTGACAATGTTTTCTTACTAAAATGTTTCATTTGATGTAACTAAGGTGAATCAAACAGTTGGCAAACATTATCATTTTGACGTTTAAATCACTCCAAGAATTTAATTATTGCAACAATGTTAATAAACCTTGTCTATCACGTTTGATGTCGCGGGAGTGAAGTAACCATGTTTTTCTATTTTACACTTGAGTAATATCGTTTTGGCGTCGACTTCATCTTATGTGTGCGGACGTTCGCTGAATTCACAGCATTAATTTAGGACCAGAAATGACAAATGCTCAGTAGTTCAATATCAAACTTAAAGGTGTTGTCTACCGGATGGCTGAAAAAATGAATTTTGAAAACAATTTTGTATATGAAATTTCTTGTACTATTTATGAAGAGGGATATGTAAGTAAGTTACTGTCAAGGAATGAACTAAGTAAACACATTACAAATTATATTTTAACACCTTTAAATAGATAGATAGATAGTTTATTCATATAAGACGTGTACAAAATGCACATGGTCACAAAATACATACATTCAAATATAATTAAACATCACGTAATCATCAAAGTTAACATTATTAAGTAGCAAAGTGTCATACAATGATAAAACTACATATTTGGACTGCATTAACAAAACATCTATAAATCTATAGCGTAGCGCTACGGTATAAGTTGATTTGTATAAAATTGAATTTAGTTCCGTCTTAATCAACAGTTATTGTGACGTAGTATGTCGAGGCGTCAGGAGGTTGAAACTATATGCGTGAGTTCGAGCCATGCTGGTGACACTCTTTTATTTATTAAATTCAGTTTATTCAATAGTTTGTTCTTACGATCTCAGTGTGTCCAGAAATAAATTTCCCGAAGAAAAGAAAAATTCTCATATTCTGGAAGACATCCCCTTTAAATTAACATGTGATATTAAAGAATATTACATTTGTGTATATATAACATGCTCGACCGAGCCCCGTAATCCATCATTTTACCAAACTCATTTAATAAATTCAATATGAAAAGACACTCATGTGATATCCTCTATGTTTATACTGTATCTAAATGATCTTCAGGTCAAGTTTAAAAATGTGGGCTCAGAATGAGGCAATTTAGTCAAGTCAAATTTTATTTCGTTTTATAGATAATTTCGAATCTGCGAAATTATTTCTAGATATAGATCAAATGATTCATCTGCTGTGGTCGGTCGGCGTTGTCGGTTAACAACATTTGAACAATCGGCAGAATTCAGGAAAACAGCCTTCAAGGTTAGGTGGTTTCGAATATATTTCCGTACATACATCAACTTCTTCTTTGTTAACGTTGTGGCTATAATTCTTAGTGTTATATAGTTCAGGTAATGTATACATGATATCAGGTTTACCTCGAGGTCCATCTGTTTTCCCCTTAGAAATATCATGTGAATTCCACTCATTCGTAAATTTAATTAATTCACTTCGTATAACAGGTGTGAAACAATACATTAAACATTGTCTTTGGAACATATCACCATCGCAATAGATACCTGTGTCTCGCAAGTCTTTGAAAAAACTTATCCAAAAGTCCATGCACTGACATCTAAGCATGCTCCACATGGATTCTATTCTTTGATTTAAGGTACTTTTACCTTGAATGAAGCCTTTTCAAGCTGAATGATCATCATGGTGGTGCAAACGGAAATATATTTGCAACTGTCGAATTATTCTATTTTCTGTACCCAGATCACTGCGTATCACTGCTGGAACTCTGCAAGCACCACTTTCCTTTACACTGTTTAGAAAATATCGAGCTATTATTTTTGGATCGGTATTGCTTGGACCCAACTCAAGCCATATAATCTTTCTACTAAATCCGTCTACTGTCCCGTGAATTGCAAATCCGAAGGGTTTAATTTTATCATATCCGTCGATGTGCCAGATAAAGTCAGGACTAGGACATGAGTATTGGCGACAAAGTAGACGCTTGGCCTTCCGTCTCTGCATACCTTCTGGGTCCGCTATCCACATCAAACGAAGAACAGTTTTTCTACGTACATGTAATCCATAGAAATCTTTAAGCCGCCTCCACATAGTCTTATAACCCAAACATCGACCACTTCCAGATATTTCTTTTAAAATGGCACTTATAATCGTTTCAATTTGAGACTCTGGACCTCTTCTAAATAAGCTCATTCGCTTTAACAGTCGTTTTAATTGTCTATAACTTATTCTTATTCCATGAATGACCAAAAGTGTAGCTAAAATTTCCTTGTACTTGTATCCACGACAGAAGTAATGCTGTATTAGATCCAACTTCACTTGAAACACCTGAGTTCTTTGCTTGTCAACTGGCAACACAGCAAGTACTGAATCGACAATAGAACAAGACCATAGTATAAAGATCTGAAAATGATCAAAATAAAAGAAACTTTGTAAAACATACGATTTATCATTTAGCCTAAAGGGACCAATTATCGACAGGAACCAATTATCATTAGGTCATCATTTTAAGAAGGGACACTTGCTTTGAAGTTTTTTATTTTGACCTTAAAATCGATGCCGAAAGGAGATAATAAATATGACTTGAGAACATGGTTGTTGTCGTCCATAGTAAAAATTTACAAAAAAGAAAAATAAAAGAAATACACAATATATCCCATTGTTTTCTCTTTGCAGGGAAGTAAGTGTATTAATCGTCTGATTACTGGTGCCTCGAGGCTTAGTTTGATAACATTTTACCAACTTTATCATCAAACAAAACAGTATTCTAATTTTGAGAAATTTTATTACATTCTAGAATAACATGTATTAAAATAAACTCAACCATACAAATATAATTTGCCAAATACAAAGACAATGTACTAATATATAACTTACCAATAACATCCAAGAATACATGCCCTTTCCCATGGCGTACTAATCACTGAACTGAAAGTGCGGAAATGACGTGTAATGACGTGGCTTTTTATTATGTCTAAAGTCTGAACTCTGAAATCTGAAGTCTGAAGTCTGAAATCCGAACTCCGAAGTCTGAACTCTGAACTCTGAAATCCGAACTCCGAAGTCTGAACTCTGAACTCTGAAGTCTGAAATCCGAACTCTGAACTCTGAAATGTGAAGTCTGAAATCCGAAGTCTGAAATCCGAAGTCTGAACTCTGAAATCTGAAGTCTGAAATCCGAAGTCTGAACTCTGAACTCTGAAGTCTGAAATCCTAAGTCTGAACTCTGAAGTCTGAAATCCGAACTCTGAAGTCAGAAGTCACCACCGGTCTTTCGTACGCTCGTTATAAAAACTGTGTGACTAATTAATAGGTTAGTAAACTGTGTTAGAAAATGTGATAGTTGACGTCGCTTTAACACTAACCTTGCTGAATTCATGTGATGGATTCGCCAAGGTTTTGAATTGAAATAATCCATTCAAAATTTAAGGGTTTTTGATATCAAAGTTAAAAATTGACTAACGAACAGTCAGACAGCACGGGTGCGCGAGCTGGTTCACCAGTGACATCGGTTCCAGTAGAGTAATGTCTAGTTGTTCTCTTATGAATTTAACTTACACCCTTCAATACCGACCACCTTCTCTCAATTCTATATCATGGGATATCTTTAATAATGACTTCGTCTTGGGCTGGATAAAATTAGTATGCATTTGTTGTACGTGGAAAGATCAAATATCTGGCATTTTTACAGAATGCCCTTATTAAAGCAAACAGAAAACAAACAAAAAATACAATGTGTGGCGGTAGTAAAAAATCGCCCAGTCCCAAATTATCAGTATAAAGTGTGTTATGGTATGCCGAGCATCGTGCAGAAAGGACTGGAAATCATTTTGTACAAAATAAACTGAGCTTTGAATAACGCTGAGATGTTTTCATTTGATAACTTTTTTTTAGTAGACTAAATTAATTGCATACAGCACACACTCCGTGAGATATACAAATTTGATAATTTGCATAGTTATATAACTGTTATATTAAACAAGTAATGTACTGTGTTAATATCATAGAACTGATTTTTTCAATCCATGAAGACCACAAGACCCTCAAAAACGTGCCCTGGCGTAGAAGTGATATGTAAAGAAAATCCAGTTGTGCATGGTCGTTCTTGGAATAAACTTGATATCGAGAGGCATACCTAACTCATGTGTTAAAACTTAAAATGTTAGGTTATATAGGATTCTACTTTGAGCAATTTCATTTAAAAGTGTTCGAATTTGCGATCTCAGATTTGAAGTTATATAGTGTTACCACTTGGTAACAAGTTTTGACTAATGAAAAGTGTATTGTTTGATTCCGACAAAGAAAACGAGTAATTTCTGATGTGGGAAACTGATGAAGGGATTTCAGTGTCAGTCACCATTACAAGGGACCTAGGCCGAAAGACATTTAGTGACTTATAGTATGTAGGCGCAGTGGGGGATTGAAATTTCAGGAGTGCAAGACAACAGATGTTTTTCGTGCTCATGATTTCATCTCCCGTGCACGCATGATATTCTCAGCAATAAAACACATGTATATAAGTATGTAGCTTTGAAGTAATATTCATATATACATAAATTTTACAAGCTATATTCGAAATATTTAAGTTTGAAATATTTATCAACAATTTGACATTTTATCGTATGTGACAAATGTTTTAAAAGGTATTTTTATTTTTATCTAAATTCAGGCATTTACATTATTTACACATATTTACTAGACAGCGAGTTTTCCCCTCTTCTGATACATAGCTGAGAAAAAAGTTATGATGTTTGAAAATCTATAATAAATGTTAATATATAAAATAGAAAAAAACAGAATCCCTAAAAAAAGCCCAACACGGCAAAATTGAAAATGTTGCAGGCTCGGTTTGATTGAGCCTGTTCATGGACGGTACTGGAAAGTGCAAGTTACCGTCCACGCCCCCTAGCACCGGCTTAAGCAGAATTCAACATTTAAACACGAAAATGGTGAAATTCTACAACATATAACAAGTTTCTTTTTTTTGGAATTTTTTACATGTTATGACTTCATAGAAGAAGCACAATCCACATATAAACTGTAAATATCATTATAAGCCTAGCACAAAAATATAAACCTTACATTTCAGTACAACAATGGAAATAGCATTATTTGAAATTGATTAAATATCATTATTTTTATAGGCATAATGTCATGTGCAATTATAGTCATGAGATCCACAACTAGCTGTTAAGCAATGTTAGTCTTATATGGCTAAAAGACTTGCTAACTTAAACAGTTTTTTACAATAATTTAGCGGAAGTAAATTATTTTCAACTAAAGAAATATATAATTGGATAACCTCAGGAGTAATCCCCCTTGAATTTGAAACCGCATAATATAATTTCTGAAGATACAGGTTTCATTGTGATGGATCTTCCTTTATGTGTACGAAAAAAAACGCCCATTTTTTTTATTTATGTCACAATGTAAATAATATGTGACTTTTATTGTACATTTTCAATGGTGATAGATAAAAAAAAAACTAAATGCGTTAAAATATTCACAACCACTTTTATAATATTGCAACATATACATTTAGATCCCGTGTAGTTTTCTTTTTATTACCAGTATTGATTTATCATGGAATAACAGCAAAACAATGAACAGGTCGAGTTACATATTTATTTACTACATACATACATTTTATCGAAATAAAATGCTGGTGTAAGTATAGAGGTTCATGAAAAAATGTTCTCTTTACAGAAAAAAATTCGATTTTTAACAAAATAATTTAACAGGAACAATACAATTATATATATATCACACCACACTGTAATTCAAAACAATAAATACAATTACTTCATTTCGATAAATACTGGAAAAAGTTCATATGTGTAATTTTAAGAACAGTACAGTATAGTACAGCACATCACAGCACATTACATTACAGAACATCACATCACATCACAGCACAGCACAACACAGCACAGCACAGCAAAGTACAGTACAGTGCAGAGCAGAGCAGAGCAGAGCAGAACAGAACAGAACAGTACAGTACAGTACGTTATGATACTGTGTGATGTGATGTGATGTGATGTGATGCGATGCGATAAGACACAAAACAAAACATAAAACAATATTTCTTATTTTATCAAGGCAAAATTTTTCGTAACAGTAGAAAAAAAACAACCCCGGACGGAATGAGCGGACAGTTCTTTATAATACATTGTGTATAACGACAGTATCATAATGTTGTTTTACTTTCTTTTTCTGTATTTGTACAATCAACGGAAAGTGAAAATAAAACATTAACAAACATACAATTTAATGATCACTCCGTGCCATAATTATCAATATTTTCTGATATATCTATATGCCAATATAACAAACGTATATAATTTATACAACCTCTTCTATATCATATAAAATGCACTTGCATTAGAGTTCTTTTCCTTTTTTCCGTTCTTTCCATAATGTTCAATTTATGGAAGCTGAATTAACGCTATGTAATGGAAAATACAAATGATAACGGCATCACGAAAAAAACATCAAAGGAACTAATTACGGTTTGATGACCTCCATTGACATCTTCTATGGCACCGCCAGGGGGCGCAGCGGGCGTTCTTTGAAATTTCAAACCCAGCTTTGGTTTTCCGCCGGGAATAGATGATCAGACTTTGTATTGGTATTGTTTTCACATTAATTCAATACAATAGGTATTTCTGAAATATTTCTTGTAAATTGTGTACCTAAAATAATTAAAAGTGATACAAGGTTTTAAGCAAGAATGGAAATAAAATAGCAACAAAAAATGTGGAGAAATGTAACTATGCCAATTTTGTCCCGCCATACAAATGTTTGTAGCTTACCACCTCTGTGAGGTCCATTACATACAGTACGTAAGTACTTCAAACATATGTATGTCCGTGTTTGTCCTTAATTTTTGTGTTCCCATATTTAGAAGAAATCAAGAATGTACCATACATGTTCGTGTCCTTAACCTTTGTGTTCCCTTATTAAGAATATAAACTATACATTCTTGAATTCTATTGAAGTTCTGCGTATTACAATAAGAAATAGTGCAGTTTATAGAACCAGATAGTTTAAAGGCGTTTCACAGAGATAAAAATTAAAGCCTAAAAACAGCAAATTTGAAATTCTGGCATTTATCAAGTATTGAACTTAAAATGGAAAAATCTGCAACGATAATAAAAAAAATACTTTAATTTAAAGGCCCGATGTGACTGAAAAGCGGGGCAACGATTTTCTTTCCTTTTTTTCACTTTTTACAATACAAATAATTACACTGCATGGGAAAATGGAGTGAGGGAATGGCCTAAAATTTTGCACATGAGTTATTTGTCCAAACCTTCGTCAAATGGAACACGAGTCTCGAAAATATTTCGAGTCCTTTCATGTCAAAAAACATTAGTGGAGTCCCTTTTAAAAGAGATAACGTTTGAGACAACTTCTTGAGGTCGGCAAAAATAATGAATAACTTATATTAATAATCGAATATTGAAATGAACATGTAAATGATTCGTTTAATTTTTATTTTTCCTGTCCTGTTCTTTCAACGCCTTTATTTACTAATAGTGTGTATGTTAAGGTGGATTACATGAATACAATGATGTTAGACGCAATAGTAGCATGTTTTGTTCATCTAAAAAGTAAAAAAGTCATGGCTGTAAAGAAGCTATTTACTAGTATTTAACATGTAATGGAGGGTACGTAAAAGTCTTCCTCCAGTTGGAAACCCCTTGTCACTAAAGGTGTGGTCGTGACGTACATACAATGAGTGATTAATGAAAATACATGTATTTACGTGTTTACCTTGAATAAATCAAAATTTATTTGTCTGAAAACATTTTGAGATTGGTAGCTATTTAAATCCAACCTTAAGTACCTGTGTTCTCATATTCCATGTATTATCAATATATAAAAGCGGACAAAAATATACATGAACACAATTCTAAAGTGCACATTTTCTATATATATACAGAAAAATGATACTATAACCTTTTACATATGTTTTCCATATGTGCCTCTTGTTTTGCTTATTTCACAACAAACTTCCACCTGTTATCTAGCACATGTACTCATTGTAACAATAAAACATACATAATAAAAATAATTTCCGAATATTTTACAAACCCCAGCTATAAATCAGCTTCATATCGTCCTGGAGGTGACTGAAACTGTCAGTTATCAAAAAACACAAAACCGTTATCAAATTAAAAACTTTTATACCCACTTTTGAGGAGAGCAAACCGCAAATCAGGAGG